TTTTTTTGTTTGTTTATAGCTTTAGAAATTGTAATAGCAATAAGGATTCCTCACTTCTGGAAAACTTAAAATTTCTAATAATCCCTATGTTATCTTCTGTTGTGGTTATTATATTTTCCTCTGTTTAATAATATAGCTATGGCTTAGATTTTATTAGCTGGTACCTTTTTTCTTGTTCTAACAATTGGCTAGATACCTCTTTAAGATCATGTCCAAAATTCTGAACTATGGATACTGACAGGGTATCCTTTACACCCAGATAATCTTTAGCATCTCTAGATGGATATGAAATAGTACCAAGTTTTCCCTTTATCTTGATGATGTAATCCCTTGAATGAACACATGACCAAAATAGGGATGGCAACAATAGTTAGTGTGGTTTGTGTGCTTTATTTTTCTCAAAATTGCTGTATGATATTGAGAGTTGCTTTGTTTGACAGGCACATGGGGTAGGAAGAGATGTCATGACAAAAGGAATAGTTAATTCTTTTGCACATATATAAGTTGATTTTATTTAGGTAAAATGTTGACATAAACAAGTACTAGTAAATTTACTTTTTCAAGATAAATTGTCTACAAGATGAACTATTATAAAATTAACTGCTAAAAGATTTTATGGTTTATTTCAAATAAAATAAGAAAGAAACCAGGCACACACTTTACAGGACAGATTTTAAAGAGGTTGGTACAGTTCAACAAAGTCATCAATTTCTTCACTGTCCAAACTGCAGTCACTGGGGAGTGGGCTAGTGGAACACCAAAATGAAATTTTGAAAAATAATCTGGCTTATTTTGTACTGGATAGATAGGTGGATACTTACCACAGCACAATTAACATAATACCTAGAAAGAGAAATAAAATAAAAATTCTTTATATATACAATATTAGTAGAAAGACCTATGGGAATTCTAGCTATTCTCTCTATAACTATGCAATGGCAAGCATTCTGTTATAAAACAGCTCAGTTAAGTCATAGAATGACATTTGGAAGTTGAAGAAGTCCTGTCAACTGACCTAGATAGTGTCATGGTATAATGATTGGTTCTACCAAAGTTCCTCAATGGAGGACATGGCTGAGCTCTTACTGGAAAGGGTCCTGTCAAGTGTGATGAGTACTAATAAGGCCTTTACATGGCACAGTCTTCTCTTCAGGACACATATCTTCCATGCTAAGAAGAAACTGGTCCTGTGTATCCATTTATTGTTATTATCATTTTTTTTTAGATATAAGGATTAGTAACCTGCTTTTTACATTAAATTCCAGATATAGATACAAGGATTAATAACCTGCTTTTTACCTTAAATTCCAGATTTAGATATAATGATTAGTAACCTGCTTTTTACTTTAAATTTTAGATTAGTGGTAGTTGCTTTCTGAAAACTCCTGAGATTATTTTGAGACTACTTGGACAAGTGGCAAACATTCTGTGATAACTAAGGCTTGCTGATAAGCAAAATAACCTATTTTTCCAAAATGTGCTACAAGCCTTCAGAGTTACTACAAGTGAGCCCCATTCTGTGACAATCAGCAGGACTCGACATTCTGTAATGCTACCAGTGTCAATTTGCCTGTAGTTCAACAAAAGTCTGTGCTTCTGATTTTGCTTGTTTGGTTCTGGGAATGTTGAGATTTATTTCCCATAAAAGCTAACCTATGGTTTCATGCATCAAGACCAGAAATCATAGAACTTCTGTACTGAAAATAGCTTTCTTCCAGAAATCAGTTTAATTGCCCTTTCCTCAGGAAATAAACTCTCTTATCTGACACCTCTCACACATGGCAGAGTTGAGAAGATTCTTCTCTCGTTTTCAGTGAAAAAGCTCAACCCAGAGATCACCTGTATGATTGATGGTTTGGTGACAGTTGCTACATTGTTTAACCTGAACTATCCTAATATTGAATATTGAAGACAAGTGTGAGATACATAATTTAAAAAAGCACATCTGCTGTAGTATAAGTGTGTCCCCTTTAAAATTCAGGTAGGGCTCCTCATTCATGGCTGGGATTAGGACCCTTGCAAAAAACGCTTCACACAGTTTTTAGCCTCTTGTCCTTCCACCTTCTACCATGTGAATACACAGCGTTCTTCCTCTCTGGAGGATGCAGGGCACCATCTTGGAAGGGAGGCCATGCCCTTTGCCAGACATTCAACCTGCTAGTGCCTTAATCTTGGACTTCTCAGCCTCCATGTGTTCTTTATAAATTACCCAGTCTACTGTAATTTATCGCAGCACAAATGAACTAAGACAACATCCTTGTTACTCACAAATGTATAAAATATGCAGAATTTAGTTCATTGGCATTGGCTATCTTTTTAAATATAAATGTGTTTGATTTTTAAATAGTGTGTCAAATTTATATGAACAAGTTTTGAAAGTTTCTCTTTAACTATATTTTAGTACATTGACTTATTTTGCCACCCCTTTTATCTTGTAATACTAAGATGAACCTTAGCTTCATTTCCTAGATTACCATATCAAAATTAGTTAGTTTATTAGCAAATTATGATCCCGTATTATCAAATTAAGTGTGATATTGTCCTGGTTGCAAGTGCACAATTGTCCATAGTACCGAATTATCACTGTAGTGTAGGAACACAGTTTATTCTCAAATCCAGGGACAATAGTGACTTCCACCCAACCTCTCCAAGAAATCTTTACCTTTTCACATTAACAGGAATATATTTTTTCCAAAATAAATGGGACACTATTTTTATTCTACTCTGACATGATCAAACTTGCACTACTTTGTGCTGTGAAATTGGAAAGAATGATTGAGCATAATAGAATGGAGTTAGAAATGTTGAGGCTGTCATTATCTTTAATAAGAAGGAGACTTGTGCAGGAGCTATGGGTGTCCTTATATAACATAAAACCAAATTGTGTCATTTCCAGAGGAGAGTAACCATGGTGGTGAGGGAAATCTTTTGAAGGAACTACAATTGCTGCACAGTGTCTTCCCTAAACTCTATAAAACGTTGCCATTCACTGAAAGAAGTAGTCTTACTGATTTGCACAGCCATGAGTTAAAGTGATAAAAAGAATTTTAGTATAAGGGACATAATTCTCTTTAGAAATTGAATGTGAGGTAGTATAATACAATGGCTGAACTTGAGGGGTTTGGAATCACATATATAATAATTCAGTTCAATCGGAAGTTTACTATTTACTAGCCTTATATCCTTGCAAAAATTATCTCCATTATTTTATTCTCTCCACTTGTAGGGATGAAAAGGGTATTTCCCTCGCTGACATAATGTGAGAATGGTATAAAAATATGACGTATGGAAATGTTTTGATGCAATTTTGAGTACAATGCAAAATGTTCAAAAATTGCTCAGTAAATTTTAGTCATGTTTATTGCAGCATGGTGAGAATACTGCCCCTGGAAACACTAAGGCAGATGAGGAGTGAGTGCCTATCAGAACCGTGGTGGAGTTTGAATTCATGCAGAACTTTATGTGTATAGTTGTACTTTGAAGTCCATTTTGAATCTCAGATGCTACATTTATATTAATATAAAAACATAATAATTTTCTAAATGTAGAATTACATGTTTAAAATTATATGATTACATCAAAGATGTAATTAATAGATTTTCCCCTAGGGATCTGTTTCCTGAACATTCTGTAACATATTAGTTAGCAAAGTCTTCTTATATCTTCCCTTAGGATAAAACAAGGGAAGTGGAATAGTAAAGTGTCATAGTCTCAATCAAATGAGGAAATCATGATGGGAACCAGGAATAAGAGATTGAACATTCTTCACATAAAATATTATTTTACTCTAGGCGCTGTGGCCCACTCCTGTAATCCTAGCATTTTTGGGATGCTGAGAAGGGTGGATTGTCTGAGCTCAGGAGTTCGAGACCAGCCTGGGCAACATGGTGAAACCCCATCTCTACTGAAGTACAAAAAATTAGCCAGGCGTCGCGGTGGGCACCAATAGTCCCAGCTACTTGGGAGGCTCAAGCAGGAGAATTGTTAGAACCCAGGAGGAGGAGGTTGAAGTGAGCTGAGATCGTGCCACTGCACTCCAGCCTGGGTGGCAGAGCGAGACTCTGTCTCTAAAAAATATATAAATAAAAGCATAATTTTTAAAAACGAGAAAATTAGTTATTTTAAAGTGAAGTTGTTCTGTCAACAGCTGACCTTGAGTCCTTGATCGATCTCTCAGACCCCTGAATGCTTTGGTTGCACAGTTGACTTTTCACATTGTTAGGGTAAGCTCTACACAAAGGCACCTTCAGACTCTCCATTGCCCAAGGTGACCCTGCAAGCCCCTTGCCTCTGTGTGTGCTGGAGGTGCCCCTAAACTTGGGGGCAGCACCAGGAGAACACTTGCAAAAACCTTTTTTACTCAGATTAAATTATTCACAGACATTTACTATTTCTTAACTTAATAAAGACATTCCTAATCTGTAAATTGGTACAGATTATATTTTCCAGTCAACAGCTGTCATTCTGTCATATCATCAGATACCCAGGGCTGCTGCTCCTCGAGGCGTCCACAGAATCACAGCTTTTTCCAGTATTCAAAGACTTGAAAGGTATTGTCCCTTCATTTCAACTGTTAGACATGAAATAATTTTCCCAAATCTTCAACATTAAGATATGGTGTAATAAGGACCAGATTAAAGGTCTCTGGATTTGCAACCATGTTCCCTCCATCTCTTTTACTTCTAAACACATTCACTCCTGCAAATACTTCTGTTGCCGAGTGGGAAATGAATGCTCTTACAAGGCTCAGACTTGCGACCACGTCACTGACCAGCACAGAGCTGGCTCACAATAGGGACCCAATTAAAGTGTTTTACTTGCAACTGGATCAAACCTTTCAAATACTAAATTAAAACACTCCTTTAAAGAAAGAAATTCTGTTTCAGAAGAGGACCTTCATACAGCATCTCTGACCAGCAACTGATGATGCTACTTAACTCTGATGCTGATTGGTTCTACAACAGGAGATGACCCAATCCAGGAGCAAGGAAATCAGTAACTTCCTCCCTATAATTTGGAATGTGGGTGGAGTGGGTCATAGTTCTCCCTGAGTGAGACTTGTTTGCTTCTCTGGGAACTGGTCCTGTCCTGTTCTCCAGTATGGTGTGTCTGAGGCTCCCTGGAGGCTCCTGCATGGCAGCGCTGACAGTGACACTGATGGTGTTGAGCTCCCCACTGTCTTTGGCTGGGGACACCCGACGTAAGTGCACATTGTGGGTGCTGAGCTTCTATGGGGTGGGGAAAATAGGGAGTTTTGTTAACATTGTGTCCAGGCCATGTCCCTTAAGAAATTGTGACGTTTTATTCCGTGATTCCCCATCTTTATCATTGGATTCCAAATTATTTCCACCACGAAAGGAGCTTGGCTGCTTGCCCTCCATGAGACTTGTGTAAGGGGCCACAATACAGGCCATTTCTTTACAAATCTCCACCAAGAAAACCTTTGTATCACATTTCCTCAAGGGCTTTAGAGGATTTAGAAATAAGGATGCTAAAATAAATTCCCCATACAACTTTTCTCTTTATTACGTTGACTTTTGTCAGACAAAAGGAGTTGTTTTTTTATTTTTATTTTTTATTTTTTTATTATTTGAAAATCATGTAGGAGTCAAGGAAATTCAATGTGTCTCGCCTAGGCCATCTTGTGTTATGTCCTCGACAGGACCTATGGTATTGGCTCCTCTTCCTAACATGTGAGGATGGGCCCAGTGGCCTTCCGTTATCTCCCTTCTTTTCTTTCTGACCTTCAATGTTTATAAAGCTTGTATCCCTGCAGCATATGTAGGTTCTCCAACAGAAGTTATACTTAGTGCTCCTTCTTCCTTATGGGGAAAAAATCCCTAGAGTTGAAGCTGAGATCTTTAGTACTTGGAATCACCCTACAGATAAAAAGGAGCAGCTAGGGGGTGTTCTTTGGTGCCTAAAGAACTTAAGGCATCCTCTGAAAACCTGGCCCAGGTTAGTGTTTATTGTGACTCTTTTTTAATCTTTCTGTACTAGCTTCTACTACATCTCCTACATGCTCTAACTAGACTCCACAAGAAGAGAGTCAACTAATGTAGAATAAATTATATGAAATTCTATTTTTGTAAGCCAAAATAGTTAAATAGTAATTTAATAATGTTCAAACTATATACTTTGCGTGGGGTTATAGAGAGAATGTGCACATTGTTCACATCTCATAGGGCTGAAATTCGATGAGCAAGTCCTGGAAACTCATTGTCTTACTCATGTCTTGTTCTAAATTTCATAGGTTCACCCATCATGCCCTCAGCTTTCCTTAATTAACCATGTCTGTTCACCTCTTCCTCCAGTTTCTCTCTCTTTTTCCCAGATATGTTGTCATCATTTCCAGAAATCTCTAAAGCTTGCAAAGACCCTTAGCACTATAAGATCCATTGAAAAAGATAATTTTTTTTTTTTTTTTGAGACAAGGCCTGGCTCTGTCACCCAGGCTGTAGTGCAGTGGTGCGATCCAGGCTCACTGCAACCTCTGCCTCCCAGGTTCAAGCAATCCTCCCTCCTCAGCCTCCAGAGTAGTGGAGACTACAGGTGAGCAACCATGCCCAACCAATTTTTGTAATTTTGGTGGAGATGAGGTTTTGCCATGTTGCCTAAGCTGGTCTTAAACTCCAGGACTCAAGCAATCCTCCTGCATTGGCTTCCCAATGTGCTAGCATTATAGGTGTGAACCACTGCACCCAGGCAAAAAGAGATGAATCTTATTTTAAAAACTTCCTTTTTCTTAAATCATTGTTTCTTTATCTATGAATTCTTCCAACTAGAAGGAGGAGAAAGAAGAAGTTTGCCTATATTTCTCACAGGGAGGAGAGAGGGTATAGGGAGAGGCATCAAAATAAAGGAGTGCTGGAGCTTGAGCTCATTCTTACTTTCCAGGATCCCCACAGTGATCAGAACCTAGAACCCTTGTTTATTCATGTAGACACTTATTTTTCTTAGCAGCTACTGTTTACTGGGCTCTATTCTAGGTTCAACTCTAATTGAGTAAGACAGAAAGTGTCCTCACTCTCATGGAAGTTACACAACTGTAGAAGAGAAAGACAATAACCCAATAAGCATTTAACAAAGAAGAAAATGTTAGAGAATAATAATGCACTGCAGAAAAGAAATCAGGTTTGTGGAGAAAGAGAAGTGGATTCATCCAACTTTAATTCATGTGTTTAGGGAGCTCTACTTGAGAAAGCAACATTAAGCTTTTATCATTTTAAAAGTTCTGTATGTCTATCATGGCATGTGTTGAAGAACACAAGGAAATTTTAAATCACTCCTTCTGATGTTTCACTAACAAGTTGAGCTAGGGTTGCCAAATAAAATACGGGTTCCTAGTTAAAACTGAATTTCAGATACACGACCGTAATTTACTGGCAATCCAGATTTACCTGGGCATCCTCTGGTTTTATTTGCCAAATCTGTCAACCCTAGGTGGGACACATGAGCATGGATTACAGGGCTAACCATGCAGGCCACAGTGACAGCGACTTCATACT